TGGCGTATCGAATTAATTAGGAAACCGATTAAATATGGATCAACTATCGCGTTATTTCACGTACCTACTAGAAAATATTTATCTACTAAAGGGGTCAAATATCCAAATCATGAACAATATATGGTAAGTTGTCAATAAAAACCTTTATCACTTACACCAACTATTAATTTGATCCATAAAGGTCGTTTGTACTGGTCAAGAAATAGATTATAAACATGACCTTTGGACGGTTTACGATAAGAGCAACTACTCCGGAGATTCTTTATATATTAGTGCTGGTTTCATATTTAAACATAAAGAAACAGGCGGATTTTTGCATTCCCACGTTACCCAATTTGGGAAAACTCCAAAATCAAATTATCAGCAAGGTATTTTTAAGTAAAAATCATACTGATATAAAGTACAGTAAGTCTATTTATATAACGGTTTTTTGTAATTACAACTACACGAATACTTCAGTAACCCTTTTGGGGGGAGATGACTCTCATTGGATTATCCGGCATTATAGTTCTAAAGTAGATTATAACTATCTAGACCATTTAATGGACGGTGATATTATTAGTCTCTTTCATAAAGTTACTAATATACCACTTTATAGTCATGATGTTCTGTTGGATGATAGAACTCAAGAGGTTTCTTGTTATGGGGACGGATTTGAAGATAATAATATGGTATAATATTTTTTTAATCTTTTTATTCATGCGCAAGACGAAATATTAATTGCTCACTACTTTATAAAATTGTATTTTAGTGGTGCATTGAATTGATCGAGTAATGCAAAATTATTTTAAAGGGCACAATATAGGAATAATATATTACGTCTTGATGTTATGGTTTCTAAAATTCCTGCACTCGCCTGTACGCTAATTGAACCAAGCGCTTCTGAAAATAAGTTACAGTTACAACAATCAAGGCAGAAATTTGGCATGCCATTAACGATAATATGCAAACTGAGTACCATGATATTTGTACCATTCTTGCCAAGAATTTATTTGATACAAGTCTGCAAATTCAATCCTTCCTTCCTGGTAGTCACAATCTCCTCAATAGCTTCTCAATACAATTATTTCAAAATGTACATAAAACCCTTGTGATTTGAACATTTCTGTCTAAAGTACCCACATTGCCGGTCAAGATTCTTTTCTACTTTTGTGAGCTGACTCTTGCATGCAGATCCTTTTCATTTATTCTTTCATGATTTAATCTCAAACATACGAAAACAGGACTTATTTATATTTTACAAAGAATATTGAATAAACGACAATAATGTAATAATGAGAAACTATTAAATGATATAAAATACTATTATTAAAAGTAACAATTAGTAAATTGCCATATAAATCACCTGGGGTTTGTTCTATTCGATACTAAAATAAATTGATTTG